AACCCATGTTTCCAGTTGCATAATACTTTAATGTATATGAATAGTTCAGGTCAGTACTGCCCTAACTGACTCCCCTACCTGGCTCCCCCTACCTGGCTCCCCCTACCTGACTCCCCCTACCTGACTCCCCCTACCTGGCTCCCCCTACCTGGCTCCCCCTACCTGGCTCTCCCTACCTGACTCCCCCTACCTGACTCCCCCTACCTGACTCCCCCTACCTGACTCCCCCTACCTGACTTCCCCTACCTGACTCACTAACTGTAAGTTCCTCTCTCCTAGTTCTTGTCCAAGCCTAACTATCTGGTAGAGAAAATAATTCTCAGGAAGAATCTCCACGTGAGACCCACTAGGAAAGGCAAAGTGATAGCATGTACTCTCTGCCTTCAGCCAAAAAGATATTGAAACTAGGTGATTAATACTTACAGACACAGCCCCTGAAATTTGAGCATACAGTGGAACCTCGAAAATCGAACTGCTCCCAACACAACCAATTATGTAAGTCTATTTTTGTAAGTGCTTTTATAAGTGTATTTTTGAGGGTCTGAAATGGACTAATCTAATTTACATTATTCCTGATGGGAATAAATTCATTCGGTAAAGGCACTCAAACAGCCTTCTGGACTGAAGAAAGTTCGATATTTGAGGTTCCACTGTACTTACACATAGGACCCAGAGGGGACAGTGTGAGCAGTACCTATACATAACATTTCCCCTTCTCCCTCTTTTAAAAATTGTCCTTTGTTCTCAGATTATTGTGATATCTTGGATGGCATGTGGATCGTTAGTATCAGTAACCTGGTTGAACAGGCAATCATGAAATAAGCTTGGCCTCAGGCCAGGCTGTGTTGACAGAACACCCCTTTCAACCAGCCACAGACACAGAAGGGTTGTACTAGAGACTGCATTGGCTTCTTCTCTTAAGAAAATTACATGATAGTTGTTGATAACTAACTATAAAAGAAAGAGCTTTGTGGCAGATACATTTCCATTTTTATGTTTTAGGCCTCTGTTGGACTATGTCACAAGTGGTCCAGTTGTTGCAATGGAGCTGATAACATCTGATGCTGTCAGAAGATGGCGAGAGGTCCTAGGACCCACCGACGCTGAGGCAGCAAGGCAAGATGCCCCGGAATCAATTCGAGCTAGATTTGGCAAAGACAAGCAGACTAATGCAGCACATGGCTCTGATTCAGATATTTCAGCTACAAGGGTTAGACATTATTAGTAACTGCTGTCAGTACAAGAGGGCCACAACTTGCAAATACATTGTGTGCCTTATTTTTTAACTTGCAAAGGAGTTTTGTATAAAAAACAGTAGTACAGAGGATGGTTATGTTTACATGTTTGTACTACAGTTTAGTAGTAGTTATAAAACATTAAATATTCCTGAGAATCTTATTTGTAAGTGTGCATATGCTTAACTTAGATGTTTGTCTGTTGGTGACCTCTTGTAATAACCCATTTGATTGTTTATTATCATATTTACAAGAAAATGCTAAATATGAATGAATCATACAGTGCTAATACATTATCTTGTAACAAAATTTGTTTGTGAAAGGAGAGTAAATTTTTGAACTATTGGCATTCTGTGCCAACTGCATTTACTGTTTCCTGCAAGTGAGTTTACCATTTTACAGTACAAACAGTATTAGTACATCATGTATTTTTAGAATTTTGTAAAAAATCTGAGTAATATGGCAGTATTTCAAAGGACATTCACAAATTACCTATGAATTTTTTAAAAATATTCAAAGATTTTTGAGAAAATCAGTGACTTGTTGAAACTTGCAAATGATGATACAGCAAATTTGGGATATTGTTACATTGTATAGTTATCTGAGTTGCTACATAAGGTAATATTTATCAAAATTAAATTTTTGGCATGAGAAGCTTTAATGATATTATGGCAATTTTTTCAGAAATTGGTACAATAAGTTATGATTTATTATACACCTTAGTAACTAATGTAAAATATTACTTTTATTTGAAAGGAAGTAGAGTTCTTCTTTCCTTCATCAAAAACAAGTGATACGATGGTGCCTCAGACAACTGCCAGTTTTGCAAGTAACACATGTTGCATCATTAAGCCTCATGCTGTTGCCAGTGGTAAGTCTTATCATATAGAAGTCGTATTGTTTTCTCTTAGTTTTTATTAATCATTTGTGCTTTTCTGTCTTGTCTTGTATTTTGCCATCTACTGCCTTACTTGTGTTTGTTGAAGCTATCCTATTGTTGTCTGCCCTTTTTATGCTTGTTACTCAATTTCAAATTCAAATTTTTATTTCTTTGCAACGTTTACAATGTGTGATTGACATGTTATAAGGAGTCTTTTTCCATGCATAGTTTACAATGTTTAACCCTTTTAGGGTTTTCAATGTACAGGAGGGCCCCAATTATACGGCTGGTTAGGTTCCAGGCTACCGCCATAAAGCGGAAACCGCCGTAAGGTGGAACACCCTTTTTTTCCACTTACAAATGCATACAAACACTAGATAACAAGTTTACACTAACATATATAAGTTAGCAATAGAACCAGGCATCAAAAAACAATAAAAAAGTACAATACACACATAGTGCACTCATTACTTACTTTGAAATATTTATAGTCTTAATCTAGGGTGAGACAAGTAGTATTTATTGTAAGAAATCAAGTGTGGTATGTATGGTAGTCAGCCAGGCTACCATACCAGGCCACCCCACCCACACATACAATTCTATGATATTTAAGCATCCCAGAGAGATAAAATGTATATACAGTTCACTCATTACTTACCTTAAAATATAGGGTGAGATAAGTAGTATTTATTGTAAAAAATCAAGTGTGGTATGTATGGTAGTCAGCCGGGCTACCATACCAGGCCAACCCACCTACACATAATATTCTATTACATTTAAGCATCCCAGAGCGATAAAATATATATACAGTTCACTCATTACTTACCTTAAAATATTTGTAGTCTTAATGTAAGGTCAGGAGTAAGTAAATGAGATAAAATGAATAAATGAGAGAGAGAAAGAATGAGTGCATGAGAGAGGACAGGCGCAGAGTTATGTAAACAAACCAGGCGAAGGTAAGTTTTGTAAACGAAGTGTACACGTCTGGTTTGTGTACAAGTTACATTGTGTACAGGTTGTCTCTACATTGATACGGTAGAATAAATAAAGAAGAACACTCCCATTCTCATGTAACATCATTTTGAGAAGAAATGATGCTCTGAGTGAAGGCAATGGAAATAAGTCACTCTGACTTTTTTGGGTTATCCTAGGTTCTCTACACATATGTTGTTATGTATGATAATCTATGTAACTGTATTTGTGTATACCTGAATAAACTTACTTACATACATACGAAAGGAATAATTTTCTACAGTTACCCCCAGTAACACATTTTCTCTTATGTTAGATTAGAGAAAATGTTATTCTTGGCATCACCTGTACAAGTTATCTGGCTACCACATCTCATATTTGTGTTTATTTATTCTATTGTAGGGTGTATTTATCATCTTTTTATGTTATGTATCGTGTTTATTATATAATTTTGAAAAAAATATCATGGATGGATTAATGAAAATGTGTATTTAACGTAATATAAGACATTTAAATGAGACTCGATGATTATTATTATCATTACTAATATGACGTCTGGAGACATAAGACACTCTTACTGATTTTAATGTGTACCTGCATGCCAGCACAGTATGTAAGTTTATTTAAGTACAGGTATACATAAGTATAATTATCAGAGTATATATAAAATATGAAATAACTTTTAAAAACATTTGAAATTTTGGAGTTTCCAGACAAAATGGAGAGACTTAGTGCTTACTGAGCTCACGAAGAATGTAAACAAACAAGGTGGGGCGTGGTGACCGTATTAGAAAGTCAGGTGGGGGGAGCCGTATAGCGAGTTTTGGTCATAATTTGAAATGACCGTATTAGCGGAACGCCGTAAAGTGAAACGCCGTAAAGCGGGGCCCTGCTGTACTAGTACGGCTTACGCACCAGGGTTATTGACGTACTAGTACGCCTAAATTCTAGCGCCTTCAAATCTAGCGAGAGAAAGCTGGTAGGCCTACATATGAAAGAATGGGTCTATGTGGTCAGTGTGCGCAGTATAAAAAAAAATCCTGCAGCAAATAGTGCGTAATGAGAAAAAAAAAACTTTGTGTTTTTGGATTAAAACACCGACTTTGCACTGTATTTTCGTATGGTATTTATGGTTGTATTCTAGTTTTCCTGGTCTCATTTTATAGAATGGAAGACAGATTACAGAATTGAGATGATTTTGACTGGTTTCACAATGAAAAGTATCTTGAAATTGAGCTCAAAGTAGCAGAAATGTTCGATTTTTACCAAAGTTCAAAAGTAAACAAATCATGCCAGGCGTCCAATACATGTCAACTGGTGAGTTTAATATGTTTTCACAAGTGCGCTGATATTATTTATACTATTTCTACACTAATGCAGTAGTCTGCATAACAGTAAATCTATTTTTTGTAAGAATAAAAATTCAAAGTGGAAAGCAAAAGAAATATAAGAGGGGCATGGGGATGTGACTAACGAACCGAGAACTTATTATTTTAGTGCCAGGAATGTCTTTCTTGTTTATTCTGGACCCTATTTGGAAATTGGCATCTTCAGAAATTTGTGAAATTGGCAAAATTGTCAATTTCTAACCACTTTATTAGATAGTTAAAATTGGTAAATGGGTAGTTTCTTGTACTCATTCGATAGAAAAAATGGAGTTCTAGCAAAATAAATATGATTTTTGTCGACTAGTACACAGGAATTGGCCAAAAATAGGGCTCAAAGTGGGCGGAATCACCGATGCGTAAACATCGGTGAGACCGCTAACTTTGTGAGAGCATAATTCCGTAAGTTTTCCATCAGATTTCGTACTTTTGATATCATTATGATTGGGAAAAGATTCTCTATCATTTCATAAGATTTTTTTTTTTTCAAAAAATTTTCGACCCTGAGAACAAGTTTAGGAGAGGGCCTCTCGACCCTGAAAGGGTTAATTACACAATTACCCATCAGTTACACAACCCAGGGCAACACGGGTTTAGAGCAGGTCGCTCCTGTCTGTCCCAGCTACTGGACCACTATGACAAGGTCTCGAATGCTATAGAGGATAAACAAAATACAGATGTAGTATACACAGACTTTGCAAAAGCTTTTGAAAAGTGTGACCATGGTGTAATAGCACACAAAATGCTTGATAAAGGCATACCAGGAAAAGTTGGTGGATGGATCTATAACTTCCTGACAAATAGAACACAAAGAGTAATAGCAAACAGAGTAAAGTCCCAGACAGCCACGGTAAAAAGCTCTGTTCCATAAGGCACAGTACTCGCTCCCATTCTATTCCTCATCCTCATTTCTGACATAGAGATCTAAGCCATAGCTCCGTGTCTTCCTTTGCAGATGACTCCCGGATTAACATGGCAGTGACCTCCATCGAAGACACCTCAAGACTCAGAGTGGACATCAAGCAAATCTTCGAATGGGCCTCTCAGAACAATATGAAGTTCAACGAGGAGAAATTTCAACTATTCAGATATGGGAAACTTGAGGAAATTAAAAATGTATCAGGGTATACAACAAATCCTACCCATTAAATAGAGCAAAAAAGTAATGTGAAGGACCTGGGAGTGATAATGTCAGAGGATCTCGCCTTCAAAGACCACAACAATGTATCTACCTCAGCTGGTAGGAAAATGATAGGATGGTTAATGAGAACCTTCAAAACTAGGGATGCCAAGCCCATGATGATTCTCTTCAAATCACTTGTGCTCTCTAGGCTGGAATACTGCTGTATACTAACAGCCCCTTTCAAGGCTGGCAACATTGCAGACCTGGAGGGTGTACAAAGAACTTTCATGGCACACATAAGTACGATAAGGCACTTAAATTACTGTGAATGGTTGAAGGTCCTTGATCTGTATTCCCTGGAACACAGGCGAGAGGAATTGGTACCAAACCTGCACACGAAAATCACTCCCTATGAAAGCAAAAGACTCGGCAGGAGATGCAACATTCCCCCGATGAAAAGCAGGGGTGCCATGAATACATTGAGAGACAACACAGTAAGTGTCCAGGGTCCAAGACTGTTCAACTGCCTCCCAGCATACATAAGGGGGATTACCAATAGACCCCTGGCTGTCTTTAACCCTTAAACGGTCCAAAGAGATGGACTTTCAAATTCGTAATGCTACAAAAGTAGATCTACTTTTTTTACATATTTTCAAATATAACAAAAAAAATGAAGATAATAGTTTTTTTACACGTTTTCAAATATAAAACAAAAAAGAAGATCAACATTTTTTTACATACTTTCAGATGTTGAAAAAACGTATATATACGTTTGGACCATATAAGGGTTAAGAAGGCACTGGACAAGCGCCTAAAGTCAGTACCTGACCAACCGGGCTGAGGTTTGTTCGTCAGCTTGCGTGCGGTCAGCAGTAACAGCCTGGTTGATCAGACCCTGATCCACCATGAAGCCTGGTCTCAGACTGAGCCATATAAACTCCAAGTAACAGTATTGATTTGCAAATGCAAAGAAAGTCACTATCGTGTCGATGCATTTCGGACAGGGTGAGTGACAACACTAACGTAATTTAGGCAATAGCTAAGCCAACACAGTACAGTAAACCCTTTCAAGACACATGGTATACGTTCCTGAAAATCAGTGCTTTGTGGAAATTAGCATTCTGTGAAGTGAAGAATTTATGAGAAAATAGGGTTACATTCTAGACACCTTCAGATGTATAAGATATAGGATCTCTGCACACTTATAGCAAATGAACATATACCAAAGGCAAATACATTTGATAAAGCCAAAGTAAAGAACAAAAATTGCAAAAATGTGGAAGGCAGCATCAGCTGGGCTCGTTAACATTGTGAAAATAAAACCCACATTTCTTTACCAAATTGTACTAAATGTAGGAACTCACTATGCCTATGACAGACAGACATATACTAAAGATGAATGCATTCAAGAAAGCAATAACCAAGAAAAATAAAGCAGTATACAGTGGAACCCCAGATTTCGTCCTTAATCCGTTCCAGAAGGTCGGTCCATAAGAAATAATGTAAATACA